GCCAAGAACATGACTGCCAGTCATGGGCCTACTATCTCTTTCCAGATTTACCTCCAGGAAGAAAGAGAGGAAGTCACTTCCTCCAAAGCTTAAGCAAAAGCCTAGGAACTGAGTTTCTAATTGGCCTAATCTAGATCTCACGTCCACCTCTGAACTAAGGACCGTGGCCAGACACAGGCAAAGCACTAGATTTCTTGGTTTAGGAAATGCGATTCATCCCCTGAAGCCTGGAGGCCAAGCTTGTGGAAGAAGAACACTTAGGAACTGGTTATCAGGAGACAAGAGTGTATAAGTGAATGGACACCAGGCAGCAGAAGCCAAGGACTAAGAGTGATTTGCTCAAACTCAAAGATTCCAGCATACATACATTACAAAGGGCAGCAAATGTTACATATCAAATGTTTCTCATTAGGCAGATGGCACCACCATTCCCCATCACATAAGGTCATGTGGTCAATAACACTGTTGTTTAATAAACCAAGCCCCTGGGACCCTAACAAGTTGACACAATAAATACCATCAGTGTGCATTCCAACAAAGCTATAGTGTTTTTCAGTGCCTCCTACAGACTACTGATTTAACTATTTTATAAAGCAAGAAAATTAGGATTTTCCTTTTTCTGTCTTCTTTAACATACACTAATGTCTCATGGATCCAACACTGAGTACTGGAGGACATTTCCCAAAATGTACCTCTTGAAGTGGCTCAGACTTCTTCAGTTTTAATTATTCTACAATAAATCCTCCTAAAATGCATGACACATTTCCTCATCTTAGTAAAACCAGGCTGATGAACACAATTTAACCTGAGACTGGTCTTTTCTGACCCACTACAGTGATGCTCTAGGGTGTCATTGAGTTCTATACCAAATGGTACCAGGCCACCCTGCTTCCTGTGTTTGGAGCTGTAAGATTGTGGACTAAAATGATCCAGTCTGGTCTAGAGTGTCAAAAGGCTCCTAGGCCCCAAACCCACTAATGCAATGCATACCTCCAATATTTGTAATAGTCAATCTTAATATATTTGTATATTTGCAAGTGTGAACATGGTATGTCATATAATTAGATTAAAAGACTTTTTAAAAAGAAATGCCAATTCTGTTTCATCCCAAATTTTCTTATTGCATATAACTTTTTGAATAAAACAACACAGGTCCTAAAGGCTAGGTCTAAAAACAGTAACAAAAGCCTGTGCCTCTACAATAATCCTTAGCCTCTGAAATTTGCACCAATAGGAAATTGATCATCAAAGATGTACGTCCCCCAAGGAGGGCACACTATCCAACACCCACATAAGAGGTGGTTGTGAAGGGTTAGGGAGAGGGAAGAACCTCCCAGAAGGCAGAGCTGGGCCTCAGAGAGCAACAGATGAGGGAGGTCCTCCCAGAGAGCATAAAGGGTGTTAATGATGAGATCCCCCCACCTCTCAATGCTATGTGTCTCCCATTCTTCTGAATGAGGATTTTTATTGCAGTGTGACAACACTTTTGTAGAGGGGCAGAAAACTCTCATTTTCAACAGAACTGGGAGAGGAATTTTATCCATAGCTTCCCCCATATGTGTAAGGATTACCAAAAAAGTTGGATGGATGCCATATGGGAAAAAATAAAGAGAAGAGGCACAGAGAAGGAAGAAAGGGCCCATCGGTGGAAAACCCTAGAAAATGCCAGCAAAAATCCAATTATGAAGGCGAGGGTCTCATTCTGAACTTCAAAAGAGATATCCTTGTTTGCACCAAGTATAGAAAACAGGGTGAATAGAGAGAGCAGCAGAAGCCCCCTTGAACATGATCTGGTTCAGAAAAATCAAAGAGGCAGGACTAAACAAAAAATAACATAGATGGGTCACATTTGCAGGCAACCCTCTCTCTTTGGCAGCAGAAAAGTTGGGGATGTGCTACCTGGAAAATTACCCTACCTCTCCTGGCTCTCCTCTCCCCAGCCCTACATAATCATTTGGCAGATAGCTGTATCAGGAATATCCAGCTTGTTGGGCATCAAGTATTTAAAAGGGAAATCATCCAGCATAAATATAAAACTTCTGCTTTTTTTTTTTAATGTGGAAGGAGCAGCAACACTTACCAATGGATGAAAGACACTCAGCAGAAAAATATTGCCCCAACCAGGCAAAAAGTTTGACCAATTATGAAGTAATCACCTCCAAGAACCTTCACAGCAAAACCACAAAGCAGAAAAGCAAGAAATCAGGAAAGAATCGAAGAGATAACAAGGAAAAATGGAATGTGAGCTAATGGAATTCAGGAAAGAACCACGAAGGGAAAAAAGTCCCCTAATGATCACAAAAATGAAAATAAAATTGGAGGAAGTACATGGCAAAATATGCACCGTGCAAAAACAGGAAAGGAATAGAGAAGATAAAATGAACAAAATGGAAACCACATTTTATGAGTTAAAAAGGAGTAGAGGGGGAAATGACAGGCACAGAAGACAGGGAAAGAAGTGACAACACACGTATAGTCAGAATCCCCAAAGAACAGAACCAAAACCATATGGCAGAGAACGTGTTTAAAGATGACAATCAAGAACACTTTCCTGAAGGGGAAGGGTGCTGGGGGGATGGGGTAATTGGGTGATGGGCATTAAGGAGGGCACAGGATGTAATGAGCACTGGGTGTAATGAATCACTGACCCCCACCTCTGAAACTAATAATGCACTATATGTTAATTAATTGAATTTAAATTTTTAAAAAAGAGAATAAAAAAAGAATGCTCTCCTGAAATAAAAGGGACAAAGCCTAATAGTATTATCAGATGAAAGATAAATATTCTTTTGAGTAGCCAAGCAAAAAGGGGAAATCATTTATAAAAGGGGGAAAAACTTGGACTGGCATCAGGTTTCTCCACAGCAGCACAGATATCAGAAAAGAGTGGATTATCACCCAGAAGACCCTCAAAAAGGAAAATGTGAGTCAAGAATTTCATTTCCAGCCACACTGCCCCAGGAGGGTAAGGCTGCCATTTGAGCAGTGCAAGGACTGGGGAATATTGCTCCCATGAGTCATCCTTTTTTTTTTTAAGATTTTATTTATTTATTTGACAGAGAGAGAGAGAGATAGTGAGAGCAGGAACACAAGCAGGGGGAGTGGGAGAGGGAGAAGCAGGCCTCGCGCGGAGCAGAGAGCCCCATGTGGGGCTCGATCCCAGGACGCTGGGATCATGACCTGAGCCGAAGCCAGGCGCTTAATGACTGAGCCACCCAGGCGCCTCTCCATGAGTTATATCTTAAGGCAACTACTTGAAGATAAGTTTCAGCTGAGCAAGTGATGATGGGGAAAGCCACAGAAGGACTAGAGAGGAACACTGACAATATGTAACTTTGTAACTGTGACTAAAACAAATGCGAATATCAGGGTAACAGAACAGAATGTAAATCATATACTCTGACATTATAGAATGATACAGTCAGTGAGTAATAATCCACAGCCCAAGAGCGAAAGAAGTTGAGATGCTAAGTTCACTGACTGCATTATACATAATAGCTGAGAGCCAAGAGTTACCATTTGAAGTGAGCAAATCATCGAATAGAACCATAAGCATATTTAATAATTTAAAAATAAACATCAAAAGGATGGTGTCAATTAAAATTGTGTGGAGAGAAGAAGAGATGTCATCGCCTACGATAGGGAACTAATAAATACTGCTTAAAGAAGAGAAATTAAGTTTGTTATGTATGATTATAAAGTTAACCCCCAACACAAAAATATAAAACTCCCCAAGAATCAGAAAAAGAGACACAAACATATAGTAAGACAAAAATCAGTGTAGGAAAGAGGTAATCATAGATCACAGGATTAGTTATAAAGAGCATGTGCCTGGTCAAAATCATGTAAATATCCACTGTTGATCTAATTAAACTATATTGGGAAGATAGGAGGATGGAAAGAGAACCCTTTTACAGTAGGGCAGGGAAGAAGAAAGAGAACACAGTCATCCCCCCTTGTCTGCAGGGGATGGGTTCCAAGACCCCCAGTGGTGCCTGAAACCACGGATAGTACCAAACCCTATATATACTATATTTTTTCCTATACATACATCCCTATGATAAAGTTTAATTTATACATTAGGCACAGGAAGAGACTAACAACAGTAGCTAATAATAAAAATAGAATAACTTTAACAATATACTTTCATATAAGTTCTGTGAATGTGGCCTCTTCAAAATACCATATTGTGCTGTACTCACCCATCAATTCTCGGCCTTTTGGCTAAGATCAAGGGTAGTATCTGTACTGAACTCGCCCCTCCTCTTCTTGTGATGCTATGAAGTGATAAAATGCCCACATGGTGAGATGAAGTGAGGTGAACGACATAGACACTGTGACGTAGCATAAGACCACTACTGACCTTCTGATGCAGCAACAGAGGACGATCATCCACTTCCGGACCACAGGTGACCCAGGGTAAATGAGACCCCGGAAAGCAAAAGTTTGGATGAGGGGACCACTGTAATTTCTCACCTTCCACGACGGGAAGTCAAGAAATAATCTCTAACACTGAAAATTCAGGAAGCCGCAATACACGCATGATATTTAAAGACAAGGAAAGAGTATCAAAATAATCAATCAAAAGAGATGAGAGTGGTTGCCCCAGGGGAGGTGAGGACAGGCAGAGGGTCAGAGACGGCTGTTTCGTAACAAACTGTAGAACTTTGGGGTTCTTTCATAGGCAACCTTAGTAAAAAGTACATGTTTAAAAAGGAATTTGAGCTCCACTGACCACTCCATATTTTGATTTTCCACTCTGACCATTTCATCAGGTCCTTTCAAATGAAAGGCTCTCTAACCTCTCATTTTGAAAAATGAAATTCCTTAGTCTGCTTTGCCTTTTATGGAAAACCACTCACAACCCCTGCATTTATCCGACAGTGTGCCATGAGCCTCCTTTGAACCTCAAGCTGTCATGGTTCTAGGACCAAACGTTGACCAAGCGCCATTTCTCAGGAGGGTCCCAGAGGAAAAGATGTTAGCGAATGAACGGATACCTATGGTGGTGATGACAGTCCCAGCAAAGAAAAAGGCACTTCCAAGGTCCCAGTGACTGCTGTTGTTGGAAGAGTTTCCTATCGGACTTACTCCTGCATTGTCAGCGTCAAGGGCATGCTGCAAAGAGAGCAAGAAAGCATGAGATTCGGTTAAAAATTAAAAAAAAAAAGCTCTCAAATTCTTTCCTTGCTTGGGAACCTGAAATGATTGGGCAACTGAGTGGCTCAGTTGGTTGAGTGTCTGACTCGGTTTCGGTTGGGGTCACGATCTCAGGTTCATGAGATGGAGCCCCAAGTTGGGCTTTGCACCCAGTGGGAATCTGCTTGAGACTCTCTCTACATCGTTCTCTGCCCCTCCCCCCACACACCCCTCCCCCACTGCACTCACACATGCCTCCGTCTCTCAAATAAATAAATAAATCTTAAAAAAAAAGAAAGAAACTGAAATGATCTAGAGGGGACTGGTTACACGAATGTGGGTGCAGTCATAACATGAAATACTAAACACCCACTTAGGAAAATTAGAAAATTAGTTTTAGGTGGGAAAAAAAAAAACTAGGCTATATAGTATGGTGCCATTTATGTAAATTTTGCAGGCATAGGATTTAGGCAATCTGGGCATGGGTTATGCAAAATACATACATATCTCTGTGTACATACATAGAAAGATGTCTAGAAGGATTGTCACCCAAAATGTCATTCCTGGATGGCAAGATCTCAGTTGCTTTTCACTCTTCTCTTTTCTGTTTTGTTAAAATGTTTTACACTGAGCTTGCTTCAAGATGGCAGGAAGTGAGAGCTTGGGCTCCTAGATCAGACCAGCAAGGCTCTGCTCATTAACTTCGGAACAATGGACAAGTTATCTTAACCTCTGTAAATGCAAAGGTCCTCATTTGCAAAGGGGGGATAATAATACCTTTGCCCAGGATTCAATGAGAAGATCTGTGTAAAGCACTCAGCCCAGGGCCCAGCACCGAGTTAGGGGGTAAGGAATAGAGGTCAAATTCGTGACTGTCATTTGGACTCCCCCCACCTCCACCCTGCAACACACACATACACACACACACACACACACACACACTGCTCCTTTTAAAATAAGTAACCACGACTCCTCACTGGCTGCGGGATTTGGAATTCCATACCCTTAAATTCACATAAATTGGCCACACTGATATCCAAGCTCGTTTCACACTACTAAGACACTCCCTTATACTTCTGGACCTTTGCTTATGCCCTCCCCCAGTCATGCCTATCTTGCAGGGTCCAATCTGGGCTCCACTTCTTCCAGGAGGCTCGATCCATGTACTGCAGCCCCCACAGATACCTGCTTCCCAGGGATCCTACTCCTGCACCACATATATTTAATTAGCTTTTGGTCACACACTCCCCAGCTGAAAATCCTTGCCTAGACTCTGCATGTGCAGAATAAGGTGCCAAATACGTCAGCAGCCCTTCCTGAGCTGGCCTCTGCCCACCCCTTTCAGGCCAGGGGAGAGGGTAGGAAGAACCTTCAAGCAAGTGAGCTGTGTTGAGGAAGTGACAGGTGGGGCCTTCAGAGGGAGGTGACAGACGTATGAGCTACTTCTGGAGCAACAAATAGAGACACTGTTCCCTGAACAAAGTTGGAATAACCTCATGTGGAGATAACAGGTCACAGTTAAATATTGAAATGTGATTCTATTTATCCTAAATAATGCCCGTGAAGCTTTGTTCAAACAGGCAGACAGCGTTTGCCACAAATCAGACTAACTGAAAAAGTCAATCATCGTTACCTTTTGCCTTCACTAATCAGAGATATTTCAAACTCTCTAGACCAGGGATCAGCAACCTTTTTCTGTAAGGGCCAGAGTGTAAATATTTTGGGCTTTGTGGGCCACATATGGTTTCTATTGCATATTTTTCTTTTCCTTTTACAATGCTTTAAATATGCAAAAACCATTCTTAGCTCATAGGTGATACAAAAGGCCGTGGGCTAGACCCCTAGACAACTGACTGGACAATAGCAGGGAAAAAATCTCTTTTCTTTAAGTGTATTCTTTCCTGCCCCTAAGAACATGAGATATTCCACTGGATGCTGTTTCTAAGATTAAACCCTGGCACCCCAGGATTTAAAATCCAGCCTCTCGGGATGCACACAGGCTGTCTTAGCCCATGTTTAACCGACCTAATTGACAACTATCACTTACTCATCAGAGGCAATGCTCTGCTCTGCTTTAGAGGAAGACAGATGGCAAGTCCTTTCTTCTGGTAAAATACCCATTCTCACTGTGCTGTGTGAGTGCCATCAGACCAAACCACAGGCCTTAACTAGTGTTTATGTCCTCTTTACCCATTCGGCTCGCCAGGCCCATCTGCAAGTAATACCTTGGGGACAGCTCTAGGCCTCAGTCACTTAGTTGGGTTCAAATCACACTATCAATACCTAATATTTACAACGTCTATGAAGCTGCATAGAGAGTTGGGGTTCAATCAAGTCTCACTGTGCTGAGAAATGCACCTAAATGTCATAAGCAGCACATAAAAGTACAGATTTGCAGCAGAGACAAGTGGGGATGATTATTTGTTTCATCAAAAAATCCAGAGTAAGATTCCTTTTTAAGTTTCATTTTTTGAATTATGCAATTTATAAATATTTAATGTTTACATATGTAGCCCTCAAGGAAAGCATGTGTCGGGAAGGAAACTACTTAATTTGTTGAGTTTCTGCACACAGGCAGGTGCTTTAGAAGTGTTATTCCCTTTTATCCTTCCTGCAACTTGTGTGTTATCCAATTTTACCCTTTCTACAACTTGCAAGAAAGTAATATTATCCCCACATTAGAGATAGGGAACCAGGCTCAGGAAAGTCAAATAACTTGCCCTAGGCCACACAGCCGGGAAGTGAAAGCCAGAATTCAAAACTGGACTGGGCCCAAGCCATGGTTTTGAACTCTCTTCTCTATGTGGCATGCCTCTCTCCCCACCTCCATGCTCACCTCCAGACAGAAATGAGGAGGAATACCGCCACTTCCCAAGAACTTAGGCAGAAGGACCTCTCAAAGGATCATTTCTAATTAGAAGACATCCTTAAACATATAAATGCAGGCACCAACCTTCATTGGGCTGTTGGAGCTGGTGAGAGCTTAACTGCTTTGCATTTAAAATAAAATTTAAAAAATAAATAAACACGGGGAAAGATTGATTTTATACCCTGAGAGGGAAGGAACAGATAAAAGAGAGTGAAAGCCCCTGAAAAAGCAGGAAGACAAGGAAGAAAAAGTAAGAAAGGAGTGTCCACGGATGCCTGGGAGCTTCGGGCTCAGCTGCAGCAAAGCCGGGGACTTTGAAAGGCAGGTGCATCCAGCATCCAACTTTAACTTTGTTTATATCTGTGATGTAAATCCCTCTCTCACTTTCCCAAATCTACAGTAAAGTGGGCTACACATGCAAATACTTTGAGGAAGTGGTTTTGTGGAAATTAAATATAAGGGCTGTTATGGGAACAGTGGGACCAGAACGAGATTTGGAACCTGAAGCAAGGAGAAAATGAAGCTCCCCAACAAGTCACCAAGATGTTGGTGAGGCTTTGGACAATCCCCAGTCCTGGGAACAAGGTTTGATTATTCTGTCTAGATCGGGTGGGTCAGAAAGACTCCAGCAAACCACCACAATTAAAACAAATTGGCAAACTCGGGCTATACACACAGAAAGAAAACACAGTTTAAACAGACTATCACTTGAATTAATAGCATCACTTTTAACTCAATAAGAATATTTCTGATTGAGTTCAGAGTTCCAACTTTATTAATTTTTTAAAGTATTTTCTAATGATCTTAATTGTTTGAACTCAAGTAAAACATTTTAAAATTAAATGCACTTGCTCTTATGTTTTTTTCTCTGCATTCAGGCTACAAAAGTGAAGATAAGCCAGCCCATTAGAAATGTCTGAGCACATAGATAATGAAATGATGCATCTGAGCTGTGTACAGCTTCACTTAAAAAATCAGTTATAGGGGAGAGATATAACCAACAGCGACATCATGTTAGGCCACAATCTCAGACCCGATGAGCATCGTGTGTGCACTTACAAGTTCAACCAATATCAAGTTCAGAGAGCTCTTATGAGGATCCAAAAAGAAATTATACTTGATATGATGTGAGACCTTCAGGGAAAGGGTACTCTAGATAAGAGGGCATTACTTTAAAATTTAATTCCACTCGTTCTTGAATTTCCTTTTTAGCCTCTGAGTTGGAATTTCCAGCACCCACCCAGCTTCCCAGTAAACAACTCATGAGTGAATGCTCAGATCAATAATAAATGAATGAACAAACTAAAGTAATAAGTTTAGACCCATGCAATTTACTTCTTTGTAAAAGCAGAGAAACATAATAAGAAAGTAGCCCCATGAAAAGAAATATAATGATTGTTTTAAAAAAGAAGAAGAAGGTGAGTAGCTAATGTGAATGGGGCAAGATCTAAAAGAATAGAGTGGTGGCTACCCAGGGGCTGGGCGGTGGGAGAAATGGGGCAATGTTGGTCAAAGGGGGCAAACTTTCCCTTATAAGATGAGTAAGTTCTGAGGATCTAATGTACAACGTTGTGATCACAGTTAGTGATACTGCATTATACCTTTGAAAGTTGCTAAGAAAGCAGATCTTAAGTACTTTCACCACAAAAAAAAAAAGGTAATTATGTGACATGATGAAAGTATAATGTAATTCTGTAGTAGTAATCACCTTGCAATATATAAATGTAGCAAATCAATATATCGTACACCTTAAGCTTACACATTATATGTCAATCATATCTCAGTAAAACTGGAGAACAAATAGATAAAAGAGTCTGTCCCCCTCCCCCCCATCCTCCCACTACCACCCCCAGGCGTTAAGACCACCCGAAAGGTATAATGAAGAAACTGCATCCCCTCGGAAAGTGAGGTGGGTCTGAGGCTGATAGAAGGACAGGAGGTAAAGATATCCCTCGGAGGTCCCCCACCAGGTACCCCCACCAGCTCCCCCCTCCAGCCCCCATGCTGTAATCCCATTAGGCAATGCCAGGCTGCCCAAATCACTGTTGCAGATGGCGCAAGATACCATCGTGAGCTTTAGCACTACAGTGGGATGAATGATGACCCACAG